TTGGTTTTATCCACTGGGAATTTGTGGGAATCTTACTTCACAATATCATGCATTGAGTAAAAATAAGGCAGAAATGAAATAGGCTCAATTTTATTTTCATGTTGACTTTAAAGATAGACTCCCTCTTCTAAAGAGCAGATGAGATGGAGCTGTGCCTCTGTCTAGACCTTTATGTGGACTACATTTACTCAGGCAAATTTGATCATTTTAAAAACACTTGTTTCCTGCCAAGACAAACCACAGCATCCCTTATACCATGCAAGTTGAGTGCAGTCTAATTTAAAACATGTAGAACATCTTTTTACTGATCTTCAGTCTTCACATTTGCAATCAATATCTGCTTTAATTTGTTTGTCTGTCTGCCTGCCTATTTTTAAGCCTATCTGATTATATGTCAATCCATAATTGTATCTATCTATCTATCTATCTATCTATCTATCTATCTATCTATCTATCTATAATTTTGTCTGTTGTTCTGTCTATCTTTATCTATCCATCCATCCATCCATCTAACTTATCTGTTTTACAGTAACTATAACGTTATCTGCCTAGCGGTCAGTATCTATTTGATAGTTTATCTATCTATCTATCTATCTATCTATCTATCTATCTATCTATCTATCTATATATACACCAGTGTCTACAGAGTGTCAGACCACGTGTCACACATTTAAATAAAAAACAGCATGTCAATGGTTCTCAGCATTAGGTGACATCATCCATCCACATACCTGTTCAACAGTCGCTGGATCCTCTGACTGTAGTCTGGAAGCATTCTCATACTCATCCTCACTGTTATACCCGGCTCCTTCTTCCTGCTCGGGACTGGGACCCCCTCCTCCTCCTCCTCCACCACCACCGCCTCCTCCCCCTGTCGCCCCGGGTACGGTCCCTCCACCGGCCACCCCACCGGAGCAGGTCGCCTGTCTCCTCCTCTTACTGAGTCCAGGTCCCGAGCAGCACCCTCCCATCCCACCTCCACACCCCACCCCACCTGACAGCTCAGCCCGACCCCCGGACACACACGCCATCCCTGCCGCATCCCCCGGGCCAACCGGAGACCCGGCGCCCACCGGCGGAGGAGAGGCCTGCTGCGGCCGGGAGCTGGATTCAGTTCGCCTGTCCTCTCTGGACGCCGGCGGAGCGGCTTGATAAGACCAAGGTGGCGGGGAAGCGCGAGGCCTCGCACCCGATCGGACCCCGTGGGAGTGCTGGTGCTGATGCGGGTCGGAGCCGGTCCTGCGGTCGGGGTCGTCGGGGTGATCAGACACACCGACCGATGAGTTCGGCTTCTTCTTCGGCAGGATCGTCATGACCGTTCAGGGAGGGTGTCCGTTTTAACGACTCCAACCGCGTTTTAACATTTAAACTTGTGCGTCTTTTTGTTCGTAATGTTTGCTCCTTTCACCCTGGAGCGAATTTAATTCAATAGGAGGTGGTTTTGAGGGTAAAAACAGCGGATAACAGAACAAAAACAAACCGTCTTCCGTCCCTCGGTCCTACTGTAACCACACAACATCAACATACAGCTGACGACACCGCACGTCATTTCCGTCTCGCCGCTCGTTCCGCCTCTCCTGTGCTCTGTTTCAGAAACTGTCAGTTGAATTGTTCATTCATTCATTCATTCATTCATTTATTCATTCATTCATACATACATACATAGGCTACATACATACATTCATGTATTTAGATTGCTGGTCTGCACTTTATGGTCCAGTAACTGTCCACCTATGGACGATAATCTGTTTATTATGAATGTTTATGGTGTTATTACATCTAAATAAACTAGTAACAGTGGAATTAAAAATACTATGTGGACTCATAGGCAGCCAAACAAGCATAGATTGCCTAATACCCTTCATCTTCAAACAAAATATATATTAATAATTATTATCATTTAAAAATGTGTTTTGACATGTGATAGTCTTGTAAACAACATTTAAAATGTTAGTAATAGTAATAGTGCATAGGACATTATTTTGCAAAAGTGTGTTTATGAATTTATAGCTGCATTTTAAGATATTATTCCAAAGCAGAAATATAACAACGTTTAACCCATGCACCCATTAAAGTGCAAGTGTTCAAGTCAACATGAAACATTTGTAACCTTCTGTTGTATAAATTATTATCATTAAAAATGTTATGTGCTTTTGAAAATACTGTAAATATGCCACCTCCCTTCATATTTTGTTTTCTAATGCAATGACATTCCTACATTTTAAGTATGGCCAGTGTTCAAATACTTCTACACTTCAACATGAAAAACACTGAACCAATTGTGCTTTGTTTTCACTTTGGTCATTTTAGAATCAATCAAACACTACAGATGCACAATCTATTACATCTCATATTTTGTGTTTGCAAATTGCTGTTATGCCTCCTCAACCTGGCTTCTGTTGTATTAAATAAAATAAATATATATATTAGCATACCATGCTTTATACTACTATAGAAAACTAAAAACTCCTGATTAGACTTTGTTGATGACAAACTATACTGTTTTTGATTCTGTTATGATGTGAATGTTTTAATTACTGAATATAATGTAATATAATATAATATAGGCTAATATAATATAATAAGAGTGGACATTCTACATTATTATTATAGGCCTACAAGACTTGAAGAAGGCAATAAAAACCTTTAATAAATGTAAACCCTTCGAAAATACTTCTCAATATATCAAAATGTAATTGGGTTAATTACATAAATAACTGTATGATGTCTTGGTTTATAACATAGCAATTGAAAAGGTTAAAACTCATTTTATGAAAATAAAGGCTAGCAAAATATTTTTATACTGGGGTAACATGGATCGAATATTTTAACAATTAATATTAAACAAATTAAAATGGCACTTTGTCACAAAAGTTAGCAAATTTTAAGGGGGAAACGTTTCAGGAGAAGCAATTTTAAAGTTAAAAATAATGTATTGATACTCAAACAGTTTTAGACATAAAATTCAAGGAAAAACAATAAAGAGAAGCTGTAGCCTATATTGTAGTGATATTGTGTTTATTTCTCTCAAATGTTTCTTCAGACAATCATTTCTCCTGAACTACAGCGCATGGACGTCACAACACGTCGTAACAGTGTAAAACCATTATTTTTGACTTTGAAATATAACAATATTTTTCTTCTATTACAAAATACCCTGCTATTCACTGAGATACAGCAAATCGTGTAAGACGTCATTAGTGTCCTCCACCACTAGAGGGCAGAGCTGCAATGAAACATTTAATGCTTAATCTAAGGTGACATTTTCTCTGCTCTTCTTCCAGTAATAACACACAATGTGATTTACAGTCAGTGATGAAAGAACACCTTAAAATCATGTGACATGTGTATGAAATACATTTCATATCAGAACTGACTGCAAACATGTCAATTCTAGAAGTTGTCCATATGAACTTGAGTGCATTTTCTATCCCCACAAATAATAAAGTCAAATAAAAAATTCATCATAAAATACAAAAAATAACAATTACAATAATTAGCTCAAAAACTGAGCAAGAAAACTGATGTTAAAAAGATAGTATATATTCCTCACTGTCCTTCAGAGCTAAATATACCCTGACATCCATTCAAATAATTCATAACATAATTTTTTAATGTTGCACTGAGTCTTCTTGGACTTACAGTACACCGACAATTATGTGAATGCAGCATAATGCTAAAGCTAAAGTTTCCGGTTTGAAATGCCATTATAGAAAGTCGTATGTTGTCCATGTTAAAGCTTTTATTAGATTAGATATCACTGGAGTCCTCTCTAATGTAAAAAAAATAAACAAAATATATGTAATTATTTTTTAGGGTTACATCATTCTTAATTAGGGTAAATTACTGAGTGCACCTTTTGCAAAATTTGATTTGGTTATTTATATTTGGATGGATGTTGGATTTGCTCATACAAAACAGAACGATACATGTGTCTTGCATAACATTTGTATTGATCAATATGATGCAGGATTGTGCACAGATCTCAGTTTTAAACATGTCAAAACCTTTAGACAAAATTAAGATTGTTTTAAGGGTGGCATGTGCAATTTAAAGGTTCTCATTCTCCACACTCACGTGATACCTAATATACCACACTAAGAATGAGTTGTGTTAATATTGAGTTTGGCAACATATTTAACTAAGAACTGAAGCAATCTCTCAGTAATCAAAACAACAAGCGCATGATGAGGTGCAAAGCACAGAACGGCCCCATCATTTTTGACGAAGGTGAATGTCTGCTAAATGTCACGCATTTGAACCACATAATTGTTACAAGCTAATGATTTTTTTCTATCAATCATGAAATACATTTTCAGGCAGTGCTAATAAACACAGCCATTTTCACACACTCTTCAATAAATAGTTATTTAACAATGCAAGAATAAATAAGCACAGCTGCGCAGTTGTGTTCCAGATATTAATTACATATGACAGTTAATTAGTTTGCAACTTCGTAGCACCTGGCAGGTTTTATTTTCATTACAATGCAGGTGATAAAATGCGACGAGCTGAAGACAAATGAGAGCAACGAGCACGCTTATGTCACCTTCTCACACCGGCGTATTTTTAGAAGTGAGAGAACTAAAGGACTCACCCTGTTAGCACCTAAATATCATGCAAAATTCCATGCAAAAACTCCAGAATCTGTCAATCTGATGTCATGTGAACGCATTTGATATGTGTGAGGCGATATAAATAGTGTTGATCTGTGTTTGTGTATTATCGTGCTAAGTGCTGATATAGAATGAATAAATTATATGAATTATTAACACATTGGCATGCTTAACGTGGAATTAGTCTCAGAAAATACAATGCAATGCAAAAGCATAAAATGTGTTTTGCTGCCCACGTCTGTTGGTCGTCTAACAAATCACAACTGCAACCAAGTGTGCTTGGCATTGAAGGGTACAGTCTAAAAATACATATATTTTTCACAATGACAAATCAGTAACATATACTTGTCATTTATGTACATAACAGTACATATACTGTTTAAAATGTCTCTGTTATCTACTTTCTGTTGTGCAGCTACCACATGTATGTTTTTGAAGTGTCTATCTGTGAGTTTTGAGGGTCAGCAGCACCCTCTTTCTCTTTTTCCGTCTCATTCTCCCAGAGGTTAATAAGCGGTGGGTAGAGTTCGTTCAGGGGAATGGAGGTGGTGTGCTGCATATATTTCTTAAGAGAGTGATGACAAGATTTCTGCTTCATGCGCCGTCCCATATAGAACACCAACAGAGCCATGATGCAGATGGCGAACATTGAGCCCATGACGGCTGCCAGGGCTACATTGGCCGGCTGGGCAACCATCTCCACAGCAAAGCTGGCTTCTTTAGTGGTCACGTTGACACAAGAGTGCTGGGTCTGCTCGGTGCCTGCCATGGTCAGGCAAACCCGGTACTCAGTGGAAGGTAGGAGGTGTGTGAGGTTGTACTCTTGGACATCTACGGGGACCATTGCAGTGTAGCTTATCTGCGGGTTGTCAATCTTTACGGTAGCGCTGAGCCACTTGGGTTGTGCCACCTCATGGTTGGAAGAGACGGCAAATGGGTGCACCTTCCATTCGAGCACCACAGACTGGGCATGGACAATTTTTGCCAGGATTACCAAGGATCCGGTGGTATTCAACACCCCATGATGACCTCCAATAGAGCGTCCACCATGCCAGTTGCTCCTATCCACGTACACAGAGACACTTCTGGTGTCGGCTCCCTCTGCATTCCACGCAACACATGTATAGAGACCAGAATCCTCGGGTTCGACATGTGGGATCTCTAGAGCTCCTTGTTCTTGCATCCGGTGCTTCTTCTTCGTCATTCCTCCTCCTTCATTTGAGGATGGGGAAACAGCTTCAGAAGTGACTTTGTCACCGGTGGGTGTCACCCAGTAAAACTGAGGCGCTGGATCTGCCACGGCCCAGCAGTTGAGCGTTAGAAGCTGTCCTAAGGTGACATTGAGCAGCGGAGGGAAGGCATGCTGGGAAATTAGAGGCAGGCAGGTATTGCTTACCCCATTCCAACTTGCAGACACCACTTCCTGAAGGGATTGGCCAACAAGATGTGGTGGGGATGCACAAAGAGTTATTTGGGGCTCCAGAACTTTGAGGCTCGATTGGTTGCCCAGGATGGGCCCCCAATTGGCGAGACAATCACACCTGAGTGGGTTGCTATGAAGACTGATTTCATCCAGACTGGGGAAAGCGGATAAAATCTCGTGGGGAAAAAGTGTGAGGTCATTATTGTGGATCAGTAAGGTGCGCAAGACGCGCATTTTTAGGAAAGCGGCTCGATCTATAAAGAACAGGTGAGGGTTGTTGTAGAGCTCCAATTTGGCCATTTGTGGTAAGTTTGAGAACGCGCCCCTCTCGACCGCCACAAGTTCTTCCATGTTGTTCAAACTGAGTTCCTCTAAGTGGGGAAAGTCTCTGAAGTCACCTTCCTGTATACGGACGATAGGATTCTTGTTAAGGTCAAGAAACTTGAGGCTCGGTAGAACACGCAGGGCTTTCTTTGGCACAGCCGTGAGCTTGTTATCGAAGAACGAGAGACTCTCGAGATACTCTAATCCCTGGAAAGCACCCTCAGGTATTTCCCTGAGCCCCATTCCCGCGAGAACCAGACTGTGCAACTTGGAGAGGGGGTGGAAGTTCATATCTTGCAGCCCAAGAATTGGGTTTTCCCCAATCATTAAGATCTCAAGGTTGGGTAGGAACTCAAACCAATGGCTGTCTATCGCCACAAGCTTGTTGGAGTTAAGGTGAAGCCTCAACAGGTTCCCCAAGCCTGAAAAGGCATTAGGACCAATAGAAGAGATCTGATTATGATTAATATAAAGCTCCTCTAAGCTGACTAGATCCTTTATACACATATCAGGCAGCTCTTTAATTTGGTTTTCCTCAAGGTAGAGTGTGACCAGTTGGGTTAGGTTACTTAAGCCAACGTCTTGGATTTGTGTGAAGTGGTTCTGGGAGAGATCCAGTTCCGTGAGGTTGACCAAGCTCTGGAGTTCAGAGGTTACCCTGGAGATATTGTTGCTCTGAAGAAGCAGCACCTGAGTATCAATTGAAATATTCCATGGGATTCTGCTCAAATGGAGTTCGTTGCAGTCAACAGTCTTGGCTTGATGGTAGACTGACTGAGGCGTGTACCATGGGCGGGTCTCGCAGACACATTGGGCAGGGCAGAAGGGAATCGCAAGGGAACAGCGAAACGCAGCCAACACAAAACAGACTGTGAGCAGTGAAGTGGAAATGGCAGTTCTCTCCATATTGAGCATCTCTAGAGTGCTGTGCCCAGTGGGTAGTTGACAGTTGGAGGGAAGATTTCTGCGAAATGGAAAACAGCAATTTTCTCATCCAGCCCTGCAAAATGAAAAAGAAAGAAGAGATATAAATCATGCAGATTATATGATGTCAGCCGAGTGCAAATGACATAAACGGCAACTTTAGATGTGATATTTATTAGCATCAGTTGCAGTACGCGCAGAAGGAATATTAAACATAAAGACTGCAATTTCTGCTCTCCTTAAGATCACACAAACAAATCAAAGCAGCATTTTTTGCAATGAGTAAATATCCAGAATTGACATTTTTAATATTCTACACTTCGTTCCCCTGCCAGTTCTCAGAGATCCCTCTGATAATTGATTATTCAGTCACCTCTCATTCTAGTCAAACTGAGAGCAATTGTTAGCGAGCGTGCAGCATTATTCCGGCCTGCATGCAAAAAATACACCTGCCAAACACAGGCTCCAACGAACACATGAAAGGAGCCACACATCAAAGCCTGTGTGCTCCACCATACGTCTCAATACCATCTTCTCATAAGTGTAAGTGCGCCTGGAAGAATTGCACGATCTTGTAACCGTTGAGTGTAACTGCTCTCAGAGGGGCTGCAACTATACGGCAGGAAAGGCAAAATGAATACCAATGCAATAAAACAGATTCCAAGCACTTTATCACACTCTAAACATCCGACGGACAAAATATCTCCAGGCCAGAGGCATTTGAGATCTCAAGAGCATGTTTAAGCCTCAAGCATTTTGGCTACTTTTTGAATTTGCTTACCATACATATTCAATCTTCCGCAATAAAAACCAAGACATTTGGAGTGAAAATAACCTACATACAACAACACAATGTGGCATTTGTCATAAAAAGCATTTTGTCTTCAACGTCATAAAAAGAAAGAAATATGCCCCGAGTTCAAACAGGAGCCTTTGGTGATGGACTACCGTTTGATCTCCCACTATGCCAGGGTTTGTGATGCATCGCTCCCCTGATTGCCGCTCGGTGCTAATGAGCTGAATATAACTGGCAGGAGGCGCGAGAGAAGAACTGAAGACTGTGAGCTGTTAATAGGTTTTACAGCATGACTCACACAGACACTAAACTAGGAAAATCTAAAAGTCCCACCATATGTTTTCACAAATCTGTAATTGAAGATAAAGTACAACAGCATTAATTAGAACAAACGACAACACTAGCTGACTTTAGAAGAGTCGTAACTGTGATTCTTATCAAGGTTTGTACTGATGGGAACAGAAAAAAAATGCTTAACTCAAATAATAAAATGCAACTCACTGTATAACTGTGTATAGTTAGGATAGCAAAATAGATATAAAATATAAATAATTCCCATATTTAGGATATATGCAAAATAAATAGGCTATAGAAATAGAAAACAATTCCAATATCTTTTGTTGTTGATGTTAAAGGCTGTGTTTCCAATCAAACTCTACAGTCTGTTGATGCAAATACATCTGTCACTTATTGTGTTACTGTACTTTAAATAGAAAAGCAATGCAAAGGTCATGGGTTTGATTACCAGGGAATGAACTGATTCAATCAGTTCAGTTCATGCAATCAGAGTCAAAAGCATAATATTCATGACAAGTAAATTCATGGCTTGTTAGAAACTAGATCAATTTAATTTAAGTAACTTAACATTTTAAATACAAATTTCTTTACTTTTTATGATAAAGTATTTTTGTACTTTGTTAGGTCAGCATTTGACATCCAATGTAAAATGTGGGACCTGAAAAAACATCAGCTGAGAAAAAAATGATATATGACACATTTAAAATGAGAGCTGATAAATGACGGAGCACTGAGCGGATGGAAAGTGACACTTATATTGTGTACCAAATGTAACAACAACTTTGTTCAAAGCACATCAGTGAGAGGATCAAAGTTTTGTCTCTCACAAACTACACATCCTGGTTGCACATTAAAATAGACCCAGTGATGCAATCAAGCGCAACTTCCCTTTCTGTTATGTCATAAGCAAAATAAGACACTAACTAGGAGAGCACAGGGTTTTATGTGCTTCTATGTGATCTGTTGTCCTAACTGCTCATCTGACCTTTACAAAAATGTACTGTGGTGAAACCATGGTAATAAAGAGCTCTTTCATAATGCCATGGTAAATAAAAGTACCATGGTATTTACCATGATGATAATACCATGGTGTCCTATATTTTGACAAATATCACGAAGGGTTAGGTGCCCATATTCATATACCATGCTATTTACACTCCAAGGAGTTCAGAAAACACCATGGTACTTTTCATAACATGAAAGAGCTTTTCATTAATGAATGTCATAAACCTCGAGAGACCTGACTTTAGATCGTGTGCTTTGGAAGACAATTCCACGTGTGGCGGCAGTATAACACAAGAAAATACAACACTTTTCACACAGAGACATCATGAGCTGCCTATTCCGCTGAGTCTGAGGGTCTTTTAATCTGCGCAGCCTGTGGAAAGTGCTCTTGATTGCAGCGAGCGATAGGCCTGTTCAAAATTCTCAGAACAAAGCCAGAATGTGGACACGACGCTGAAACGGCACTGGCTCTGGAAATGAAAACAAGATGGGGAAAAATTACCCACCCTCAATCACCCCCCTCCACACTATGATCTTCTCATGCGTCGAACACAAATGAACTCCCCTGAGAGGTGCAGGTGTGTTGAAGAGGGGCGAGATGAGACGGGGGAGGGGACAGTCAGACGGATGGGGTGTGTCCCTCTTTGCTGCAAAGGGCCTCAAACGTCTGATGTACCTCAAAGACTTGTGCTGTCACAACATATCGGTGCATAAAAGTCCAAAACACTTCATGCAATCTCTTGCATTAGCTTGTTGTCGAATTGTCGTCAAGCTTCCTAAGCAGTTCAGGTAGGACAGATCAGATTTGAACAACACTAGAGTCACTTTTGCACACGTACAACCTGTTCTGTTTCTATGGAAAGGTACTGGGAATCATGATGGCATTTGAGATCTCTAAATCCCTAATGACACAATCTTCTGAATAAAGCCTGAAATGTACTCTACACAGGTATGTGAAAGCAAACTCTTTTAGCAACAATTCATAACACAATACAAGTATGTGCTATAGCTGATATTAACTGTGTTCTCTTTCAGGTCAACTACTCTCAGGAGAAGCTGAGCAAGTGAAATCACAATTTTATAGCAGCTATCTGACCAATGAAACACCTGTTTAATGCCACAAACAAATGAGGGTAACCCTATTACTCTCTTGGTTTGTTACTGTAACAGTACGCAGGGTCTGTTTGTTTACATTTATTTACATTTACTACTAATGTACATTTACCAACTTTATGAAACCCCTCCGGTTCTACTCGCACTGCTCTGAGTGGGATTCGAACCAGCGTTTCCAGCATAGGAGGCGGGCGCACTAATAAGGATGCTAAAAACCACAGCGCCAGTCGCTAGTGAGCCTCTTGAGGCCAGGGGAGTGAGGTTTACCAGCACAGCTCTTTATAGCTGGCCTTCGTCACATTTATATCATCATAAATGTTGGTATACTGTAGCAGCTTTATAATGTAATAATGAAGCACATACCTGCTCAATCGTGATTCAATATATGGTATCTGTTATGTCAAGTGTTTGGTAAACATCCTTGTAGTCCAATAAGTGTGCACATTGCACAGTTCACTTGGTGGCCATCTTGTCAGATATTTCCAATCATGCAACTAATGTACCTGAATGGGAATATAATATGTATAAATAAGTTTGTTTTTTTGGTATGATTTGTGCAATTTGGCATGAAAGCGCAATTTATGATACCATTGCTGTCAGGTTTTATTCCTGATTTAATGTGATTAAAAATTCATTTTGACAAAGCTTTATATATTACTTATATATTGTATACTGTGTTTATATAATGTACATACAATGCAATTTATAATATTGTCTCCATTCAAGTAGATAGAAGCTGAAGTTACAGGCTTTAAATCAGTGTGACTTTATTATCAAAACACTATTATAGTATTGATTAATATTTTAAATTCGCTTTTATTTTTCCACTTTTTATATTTAATCAAATTTTTAGTTCAAGTTTTTGTCAGATATTCATTTTCTTTAAGTCTAGGTTTTTGTAATCTTTATTTCAATTACTGAAAAACATATCTAGTTTTAGTAAACACTAACAACACTGCTGAGAATAACAAGTGTGTCTACTTTCAGAAGAGACCAGTAGCAATGCACTGGCCAAGCATTTACATCAGCGTTAGCATATTTGCGTATATTTCTTGCCTAAGGCTAGAGTGTTTCTCTATTCTCAGTGCGCTAACTCTCATTCTGCCAACCCGTGCATTTTAATAGCATCTGGGGAAGAATTCTTGGGAGAAAAGACAAAAAGATGATAGTTGACATACAGTTAGAATACAGAGCTGGCAGCTCAGATCATTAGATCTTTTTGATCTTGAGTACATATTGGGATTTCTTACTTATTTGGTATGGCAAATCTCAGCATGGCCTTTTTGTAATCAACAAATCAGAGGCAAATTCTCCTTTTTGTGCTCTCTATTTACAGTTTTTCTCAATTGCTAAAACACAATTTCTGAATCCTTGCTCCTTTTTCTGAAAACATTAAACACAAAACCTCATCTTCAAGCACTATTTACAAAACCTCTGACTCTTCTTGCAAAATGAAACTTTCGCCTCAAAACAGTTTTACTTGTGTTCAAAATCAAACACTGCTCTCAAATCATAGACAAAGTGATCAAAATGATATACACTATCAAGCAGTCAGTAAACAATACACCAAAAAATAGAAAACACATTGTTCAAAACATACAGTTCTCGAAAGATATCTATGGACGGCTATTCTGTTTGTAGACTTACCCGTGACACATTACTGTACCATCAAAATTTCAGGGAGAAGTACATTTTTAATCTTAAAACAAATTTCATATTTGTCCGTCATTGTCTTTTGATGAATGAAAACATCATAGTAGCGCAAAATTGATCAGAAATTACTACTCTGCTTTGCTCTTTGCAATTTTATTTGTTCTTCCTCCTTGTACCCCTATTTTTACAGTACAGTGCCCTGCATCTCACAA